TTCGGCGGCTTTGGGTCATTCCTCCAGGGGTGGCACAATTCATCATCATCGAGCAAATCATCAGGACATGTAATGACAGCTACTTCCTCCTTTCCCCTTTGTTTTGGCAAGGGGTCTTCATCAATTGTTTGCTTCCTAGAGGGAAGTTCAAGGACTCCCTCATGTATCTTGGCATGTAAAATCCTCCTCAAACTCTGACAGGCAGTAGTTGGATGCCCCACAAATTGATGATAACGACAGTACCTAGGATCATTCTTTTCCTCTCGGGTAGGAATTTTGTAGGGTCTGACAGGCTTGATTGCGCCCTCAGCAATCATTGTGTCAAGGATAAAATGAAATTCTTCATCTTTGCATGGTAGTGGTGGATACGTCTCCCTATTCTTCCGTTTGCGGGAATTGTAGTCGTTGGATGGCTTGTCATCTATTGCTAATGTCTGATGCATTTCCTTCTTCTCATTCCTCCAAGTCCTTTGTCCTGTTGGCTTGACGGACATGCTTGTCTTCTTTACAGCTTCCAGCAGCCGAGAAAATTGACTAATGCCAATATTCTCCAAATAAACTCTATAATCTGCCATGATATTGCTGATGCAGATTTCAACAAGCGCCTCCTCATCCTTCTCATCATAGGAATCCAATGCCAAGTCCCGGAACCTATACACAAAGTCCACGGGATCCTCACCATGCTTTTGACGAATGTTGTGGAGTTGAGTGGTGGTGACTCGTTCTTCATGCTGGAAATACTTCTTACAAAACCTGCTTGCCAAACTTTCCCAAGAGTGAATAGAGCCTGGTGCCAATGTCGTATACCATGTGTAAGCACAATCAGTGAGACTCTTTGAAAATTCTCTAAGTCGGAGATTATGATCAACGGCATATGGTCCCAAGGCATCAATGAAGCGATTGACATGCTCCTTCGGGCTCCCCTTCCTTTCGTCGAAGATGACAAAAGTTGGTGCTTCATAGCCTTTAGGATATGGCTGTTGGAGCAAGCTTGTTGGGTACGGTGGCTGAGGAAGATACTTCCAATCTTCCTAACTTCTATAAGAAAATAAATTGAAGAGGAAGAGAGATGAGAGACAGAAGTGAAGAATAATTGCACAGACCAAGATAATCTGTTCTTGTATTATCAGCTGTAGATATATTGTACACGGGTTAGACTTTCTCAAGTCTATTTACAGAAGGTAAGTAATATAAGGTAAGTATAATTAATCTCATATATTACACAATCAATTGTAAACTAATTCTTAGCTGGGATGAAGCTGATCTTGTGATGGGGAGTCTGTCAATGCTGATTTAGTAGGATCGACTGATTTCATGGAATGGGCTGATTGTTTGGAATCATGATCTGCATCATGATTCTCTTTACCCTCCCGCAAGCGCAACGGAGCAACGCGAAGATTAAGCTTGGATTTAAGGAGAGAAAACCGATCACGATTAAGACCTTTAGTGAATATGTCAGCAAGTTGATGAGAGGAGGGAACATAGAGAGTATGAAGCGCTTTCCGAGCAATGAGTTCGCGGACAAAGTGATAGTCAATCTCAATGTGTCGTGTGCGAGCATGGAAAATAGGATTGGCAACCATATAGATTGCAGAAATATTGTCAACATATATGCATGGTGCAGAATGAAGGGGAATGCCAAGTTCACGAAACAAGTAACCAAACCATCGGATTTCAGCGGCAGTGTTGGCAAGAGCTCGATATTCGGCTTCAGTGCTAGAGCGAGAAACAATAGACTGTTTCTTGGTAGTCCATGTGAGAATATTAGGACCGAGAAAGATACAAGCACCAGTGGTAGAGCGTCGATCATCAACGGAACCAGCCCAATCAGCATCCAAGAAGCTCTGTAAAGTGAAATCATTAGACTTGTGAAAAATGAGCCTTTGCTCAAGCGTGCCTTTAATATACCGGAGAATGCGCTTAACAACCTGAATATGAGAAGTGCGAGGGTTGTGCATAAACTGACACACCTGGTTGACGGCAAAAGAAATATCAGGCCGTGACAAGGTAAGATACTGTAGGCCACCCACCATACTGCAATAGGTGGATGGATCAGGCAAGGGATCACCATCCATACAATACAATCGAGTGTCAGAGGGCAATGGTGTAGGACATGATTTGCACTCAGTCATATTAAACTGTTTCAATAAATCAACCGCATACCTTGTCTGAGAGAGAAACAGAGTGTCAGAAAACCGATTAATTTCCATGCCTAGGAAAAAATTGAGCTCACCCATTCTTCTGCTGTCGAAAGTGGAACATAATGTATCAATAAACTGATGGACACTCTGGGGTTCAGACCCAGTAACAATGATATCGTCCACATACACGAGAACATACATCGTGCAAGAAGAAGAGCGGGGATAGGGAGGCATCAGAGCGGCTGTGAACAAACCGCTGAGCAAGAAGAAAGGTACTAAGGCGTTGGCACCAAGCCCGGGGTGCCTGTTTGAGGCCATAAAGAGCCTTATGAAGGCGACAAACAAATTGAGGTCGAGAGGAATCATGAAAGCCAGGGGGTTGTTTCATGTACACCTCTTCTTGCAAGTACCCATTCAAGAAAGCATTGCGAACATCAAGTTGCTGAAGCAGCCAATTACAAGAAACAGCAATAGATAAAATAGTGCGAATAGTGGCTGGTTTGACGACCGGACTAAATGTTTCTTCATAATCAAAGCCTTCTTTTTGATTAAATCCCTTGGCAACAAGGCGAGCCTTATATCGGTCAATCGAGCCATCTGCTTTCCGTTTAACTTTGAAGACCCACTTGCATCCCACAATATTCATAGATGAGGTTACAGGAACTAAGGACCATGTCTGATTTCTCATGAGGGCATCATATTCATCCTTCATTGCAGCTCGCCAGTGGGTGGATTGGGAAGCCTGGGTGAAACTCGTGGGTTCAATGGACATGGGATCAGAACACTCAGCAAGTAAAGCATGAGGTAAGGGATGAGGGCTGGTCTTAGAGTAGAGTGGTTTTGTTTCAGGACCGAAAGGAACGATGGAGTTGAGGGACTTGAATTTTTGTGGAGGGTTTGGTGTATCTGGAGAAGTGGGAAAAATAGATGGGTCAATAGGTGAAGAATGAGGAGTTGATCCAGAGGGTGGGTTCGTGAAAAACAGGTGTGATGAGGTAGTGAACGGTGATGGGTTTGTGGAGTTTGGTGATGAAGGGTTTGTAGATTTTGGTGATGGAGAAGCCGATTCAGAGGGTGGGTTCGTGATTTTGGTGATGACGGTGAGGAAAGACTCGCAGGTGAAGGGGTGTGTGGGGTCAGATGGAGAGGAAATCGCTTGAGGTGTTGTATTGTGTGAGAACAAGCCAGGCGGGCTAGAAAAGGTTGTGTACGGTGATGGGCTTTGGGGAGTATTATTTGCTAGGGAATCTAGAAGTTGAATTTGTGGGGAGTAGGTGTTGGGCCCTAGATCAGATTGGGTGGTAGGTGTGGGCTGAATGGTATGAGGGAGAGAGTGAAGTCCACCAGAGGGCAATGAAGATGTATTCTGGGGCTGCTTGTAAGGAAAACTAGTCTCATCAAAAGTCACGTTCCGGGATATATAAATGCGACCTGAAAAGGGATCAAGACAACGATAACCTTTATAGTGATCATCATAACCAATAAACACACATGCAATAGATTTAAAAGATAGCTTATGCTTGTTGTATGGCACCATGTGAGGAAAGCAGGCACACCCAAAACTTTTGAGAAATTTATAATCCGGTGGACGATGAAGTAATTTCTCATAAGGAGATAAGTTGTCAAGCTGAGGAGTTGGTAAGCGATTGATCAGAAAAACCGCAGTTGAGAAGGCTTCAACCCAAAAGCTAGAGGGCAAACGAGATTGGGCTAGCAAGCAGAGGCCCATTGCAACAATGTGACGATGTTTCCTTTCCACCACTCCATTTTGTTGGGGAGTGTATGGACAAGAGATCTGATGCGAGATGCCATGATCACTTAAAAAAATTCAGGAATAATCTGCTGGTAAATTCACCGCCACCGTCAATCTGTAACTGTTGGATTTTGGAGCTAAATCGATTTTCCACCATTTTTTTGAAGGGAATAAATGTTGTAAGAACATCTGATTTCTTAGCCAAAGGATATAACCAAGTGAATCGAGTGTTATCATCGACAATCGACAAATAATAACGATATCCAAAATTTGAGGAAACAGGTGCAGGGCCCCACAAGTCCAGGTGTAAAAGTGCTAATGGAGATTGAGCATGAAACTTTTTGTATTCAAAAGGCAATCGACATGATTTTCCCAATGGACAAATATGGCAATGTTTATTTGATAGAAGTGTACCATCAAGTGGTAAATGGTACTTATTCAACAATGTAGAAAAAACTGAATGAGATGGATGTCCAAGTCGTGCATGCCACACGTCTTGTGTGGTGCGCTCTCCATAGAATGCAATCTGACGAGCAATATGTGAGGCTGTCTGAATATGATAAAGGCCATCAGAACTACTGCCAGTAAGGAGTACTGTCCCCGTCTTGTTGTCCTTGACACAAAAACCATTAGCATCCAACTCAAAGAAACAATCATTATCACGACAGACACGTCGAATAGATATCAAATTTTTCCGGATTGCAGGCACACACAATACTTCATTAAGTTCTAAGGACTCATGCGACCCAGTTAATTGTGTGTGGCCAATATGTGTGATTGCTAACTGATTCCCATTTCCAACAACAATTGTATCAGTACCTGTGTAAGGTTGGGCATGTGGTAGAGAAGTTGGGTCCGCTGTCATGTGGTGGGTAGCACCAGAATCAAAGCACCAATTGAGATTGAGATGGAGTTGAGGTATTTTTTGCCATGTATGCATGAGGTCTTCGATCTGGGCAGAAACGGGCTATGTGGCCTGGCTTATCACATCTAAAACATATGACATCAGCCCGTTGGGTATTTGGGGAATTTCCATGTGGCTTTGGAAGAAGTAGAGGGCGTCCATCAGTAAGAGTTACAGAAGAAGGAACAACGGAAGTATGTTGCTAGTCGTGAGACTGAGTACGGCGATCTGGAACCCAATTCCCTTGGGTTGATTCCCAAGGATTTGCTCTCCCTGATCCACGTCCATTGTGTCCTTGATTCCAGTTTCTGCCGCGCCCGCGTCCTCTCCCAAAACCGTAGGAATGAGTTGGATTTTGACCAATGGAGTTTGGACTAGAGTTGCGCTCAGTGGACCTCCGATCAGCAGCCATAGCAACCCCTGAAGCAACGGTGAGAGACATTCTTTTCTGTAAATGTTCTTCCCTTAAAGCTAGATCGTAGAATTTATTGAAATCAATATCTGGATGCAAGTGAAGTGTTGTGGCTAACTCTTTGTATTCAAGACCAAGACCATCCAGAACATAACTGATGAGTTTATCATCGTCCATTGTTGCGCCAGCTTGTGTGAGGGAATCAAAGAGTGATTTGGCATAATTGAGATAATCAGTCACTGTTGTGTTGGTGTCCTTTCTGAGAGTGCGAATTTGGTCTCGAAGAATCCGTACACGGGTACTAACAAGAGGTGAGAGGCGCTTGGCCATGGTCCAGGCCTGATGAGCAATGGTACAAGGGATGAGAAGTGTCTTGATGGAAGAAGAGGAAGTCGCTTTGATCCAACTCAGGACCAGTTTATCCTTGGCTAACTCTGGGTGCACAGATCCATCTTCTTGCACTTTGGGTGGGTCTATGTTGTTCTTGACGACTGCTGCAAGGCCGTGCATCTCCAATACATCTTCAAATTGGGATTTCCAACTCAAGTAGTTGGTGCGATCCATAGGAACTGGGAACAACGATGAGATATTGAAAGAAATGGGCAAGGGATGAGATGAGAATGGAGGTGAGGAAAGTTTTGACATTTCAGAAATCAGTTTTGACATATCAATATTGCTTGATTCTCTAGACTTAGGTGTGGTGCCCATTGGTTTGGGTAGGATCGATATTTTGAGGGTTAGCTCCGAAGAGCTCTGATACCATATAAGAAAATAAACTGAAGAGGAAGAGAGATGAGAGACAGAAGTGAAGAATAATTGCACAGACCAAGATAATCTGTTCTTGTATTATCAGCTGTATATATATTGTACATGGGTTAGACTTTCTCAAGTCTATTTACAGAAGGTAAGTAATATAAGGTAAGTATAATTAATCTCATATATTACACAATCAATTGTAAACTAATTCCTAGCTGGGATGAAGCTGATCTTGTGATGGGGAGTCTGTCAATGCTGATTTAGTAGGATCGACTGATTTCATGGAATGGGCTGATTGTTTGGAATCATGATCTGCATCATGATTCTCTTTAACTTCGACTCAGCTCCTTTTCCAACATGGCAACAACGTCCTCTTGAGTGACAAAAGATGGTCCTTTTTGTTTAGACTCATTTCCAGCAGCAGCAGATTCCTCTTGTGGGTATTTCTCATTTTCTTCACTTAGCCTTGGAGCTGAATTTTTGAGTTCTTTTATCATCTCTGCCATCTCCCTCTGGGTCTCACCCATAGCATGAATGGCTGCAACAAGGTCTGTGAGGGTAAAAGTTCCCTCACTTGCACGTTCTTCTTCTCTAGAAGAGGCATGTTGCCTCGATCCTGAGTCAGCATGGCTTGGCCCATCCTGGGAAGTCATGTTGTTGCTTCTAGTCTTCTTTCTTGGAGGCATTGATGAAGATAATGGCTTAATCCCCAGCAGAGTCGCCAATTTATGTAGGGGACTTTTTCTTCCTGCAGCGATAATGGGCTGGGCTGCTGTAAGGGGTAGACTGAGGAGACTGTCCCCTTTGTTTGGGTTCGAAAATTAAGCCCCAAAAATACTTCGAAAGGGCAGCAAAGCCTTAAGAAATATTTTGGTTACCTTCATCAACCAAAATAATGGCTGCTTACAGGTGGTTTTGGCATGTTTACAGATAATCTTTTTAGCTCAGCGTGAGTGGCATGTGGCATGGGAGCAAAATCAACATGAGTTTAGCACCTAGAGAGAATTTAGGCTTGCTTTACGAGAAAAGGAAGTGTTAAGGTAAGAAAGGAGATGTTTTGTGAGGGATTTGGCTAAGGAAAGAGAAAATGAAGAGCAGACAGAAGAACAAAATGGAGAAAAAGATGAACAGTGCACGAGGTTGCTGGGTTTTTGCAA